CAATCGCGGGATGTTGTCACCGTGCTACGAGAGTTTGGATTCAAAGGGTTACTGCGGACAACAAGGTGAGTCTTCATTGGAGCTCCGTCGCACTGTGTGCGACAAGTCTAACATTTTTTTCTATTGTGGGACGACATGCACCCGACGGATGCAAGGCGGTGCTAGAAAAGCCCTCGAGAGAGTTTATAGATCAAGAGTAGCTTAGGCTTCATATCATCTTCATAGAGCCATTATCCTTAGAATTAGTAATGCCTTTCATTTGTCATTGTATGTCTACAACAAAGGTGTCTTTCATGTGACTCGATGTACAACTTCACCATGATCATGGGTAGTGATGACGCACAACACAAAGGAGAACGCACGACGGGGAGAGTCTCCCTGGCCAGCCTAGACTGAATCCACCTCGAATTTGACACGCATTGACCATTGTGTTTTTTAGGGAAGCTATGTAGTGTGCAGTGGCGGAGCTACGTAGGGGCAAAACTGTGCTATGGCCCGCCCAATCCAAACAGGAAATAGTGTAGCGTTAGGGTAAACTGGGGTCATGAGGGCAAATTTTATGTAATTTCTTCTATCTTGGCGGGCACTGGCCCGCCTAACTATTCCTAGCTAGCTCCGCCACTGGCAGTGTGGGAGGCAGTGATGAAGCAGCTCAAAAAGCCTTTGAAAAAGTTTATAGATCAAGACTAGCTTAGGCTCCATATAATCCAGACTAGCTTAGGCCCTACAGCCATGGACAAACTCAATTCGGTTCACCGAGACCTCCATGCATGGGACCGCCGAGTCTTGAAAAAACCACAGGCAAAACTAAAGAGGGCTTGACGGGAACTTGAGGCGCTAATAAGGGAACCGTTTTCGGATGATGTGAAGATGAGGCAAAAAGAACTATCAGTTTTGATTGAAAACTTGCTTGAACAGGATGAGATCTATTGGGCCCAGAGGGGTCGAGTTAATTGGTTAAAGAAGGGAGACCGGAATTCTTCATATTTCAGCATTCAGCAACAGCAAGAAGGCGAAGGAACCTGATAAAAAAACTTAAAGATGAAAGCCAGAATTGGGTGGAAGGCAATGGCAATCTCAGTCCACTAGTTCGTGACTATTTTCGTAATCTCTTCACCTCAAGTTCTGCTGAGATTGACCATGGTTTGTTATCTTCTATTAAACCTGTTGTAACAAATAATATGAATGAGTTTCTTGTTGCCCGTATACCGGGAGGATGTGCGCAAAGCTCTTTTTCAAATAGGTGATATGAAGGCGCCGGGCCCCGACAGGTTACATGCAATCTTTTTTAAGAGGTTTTGGCACATTGTGGGAGAGGAGCTAACAGATGAGGTGTTGGATGCAATAAACAAAAGAAAAATACCGGCTGGATGGAATTCAACAAATATCGTTTTGATCCCCAAGGTTGACAGTCCAGATGTAATAAGTCAGTACAGGCCAATCAGTCTATGTAATGTCATATATAAGATTATTTTAAAGATGATTGCTAATAGACTAAAGAGAATTCTTTCAGAAGTTATTTCTCCAACGCAGAGTGCTTTTGTACCAGGTAGATTAATTACTGATAATGTCCTGGTTGCCTATGAATGTTTCCACACCATAAAAAAGAAGACCCATGGGTCTTCGGGGTACTGTGTGGTAAAGCTTGATATGATGAAAGCATATGATAGAGTGGAATGGAGATTTCTGGAAAAGATGATGCTGAAGATGGGGTTTCATGGGCAGTGGGTCCAAATGATAATGGAATGTGTTCCTTCTGTGAGCTATAGAGTCCGTTTCAATGATACAGAAACGGAAGAATTTCTACCCACTAGAGGCCTCAGACAGGGGGGTCCCCTCTCCCCTTATTTATTTTTGTTATGCTCGGAAGGACTTTCTAGCATGCTTGCTCGTGAGGAAGAGATTGGAAATCTGGAAGGTGTCAAGGTATGTAGGAATGCACCTACTATCTCTCATCTTCTTTTTGCGGATGACTCATTGATTTTAATGAAAGCAAACATGCAATGGGCAAACACATTGAAAAGGATTCTGGGCGTTTATTGTGGTAGTTCAGGACAACTGGTTAGCAACGCCAAATCTAGCATATTTTTTAGTCCTAATTCCCCTGTTGGTGCACGAGAGAATATTTGCAGGGAACTTAATATTGTTACTGAAGCACTATCAGACAAATATTTGGGGCTGCCCACTATGGTGGGGGTTGATAAAAGTGACTGTTTCCAACATCTCATTGACCGGGTATGCCAGCGTCTGAAGGGTTGGAAGGAAAATTTTCTCTCGATGCAGGGTAAGGAAATTCTGGTAAAATCAGTAGCTCAAGCAATTCCTTCGTATGCTATGTCAGTGTTCAAGTTACCTAAAGGAATATGCAAAACAATCACGGATGAAATAGCTGGCTTTTGGTGGGGTGATGGTGAGGTAAAAAAGAAAATGCATTGGTTTGCATGGTGGAAGATGTATGTACCAAAGAAGAAAGGGGGCTTGGGGTTTAGAGACCTTCACTGTTTCAACCTTGCTATGTTAGCAAAACAGTGCTGGCGACTAATCCAAAACCCGGACTCTTTACGTGCACGTGTGCTGAGTGCAAAATACTACCCCAATGAAAATATTTTGAAGGCAGGACCAAAGAAGGGATCGTCATTTACTTGGCAGAGTATCTGTGCGGGCATCCAAACCTTCCAAAGGGGGTGCATTTGGCGTATGGGATCAGGAGCACAAATAAACATATGGCATGACCCTTGGATTCCATCAAGTCCTTCAAGGAAAGTAATCACCCCGAGAGGTGCAACGATGCTAACATATGTGGAAGAACTTATTGATCCATATACTGGCAGGTGGGATGAAGTCTTAATCAGAGATGTGTTTTCACCAGTGGACGCTTATAGGATTCTACATATTCCTTTGAATATTCAGTTAATGGAGGACTTTGTAGCTTGGAATTACACACGATCAGGGACCTTTTCGGTCCAGTCGGCATACCATAGGGAATTTGAACATCAATACAGTCAGCGACTTGTTTGTTCAGATGGACAAGGGAACACACATATTAATACTATCTGGAAGGAGGTATGGAAACTTAAACTCCCAGGGAAGATCAAACATTTTGTGTGGAAGGCTCTCAATGGATCACTACCCTGTCTTGGGATATTAGCAAATAGACACATACCACTTGTTCCCCAATGTCCGTTCTGTGCAGTGGGGATCGAGGACATTCTACATATTTTGTTCACTTGCAAGAGGGCGAAGGAGGTGTGGTCAGAATTGAAGCTACGTAACATTATCGCAGAAGCAACTGAGCAGGATAGGTCGGGTTCAATCACTGTAGAAATCTTGTGCAGCAATAACTCTGTTACAGAGGGGCTACCGACGGCAGAGCTCATAGCAGTGGCCGCTTGGTTTCTTTGGTGGCAGCGCCGCCAACATGTCAAGGGGGAGGCGATCGAGACCCCTGATAGGGCTGCTGTTTCTATAAGAGTCTTAGCCACCAACTTCATTCGAGCCTACACAACTAAGCAGCCAGTGAGAAGCTATGAACGCATGTGGAAATGACCACCTATGGACGTGGTAAAAATTAATGTTGATGCCGCCTTTAAGCCTGAAACCTTGTCAGGTGCAACGGGAGCTATTGCTCATGACGAACGAGGAAAATTGATTGCAGCGGCAACATGGTATACACCTCAAGTCGGCAGTGTTGATTCAGCGGAGATGACAGCGATCAGGAATGGGCTATACTTAGCTGGGAAAATTGGATGCAACAAAGTGTTGGTGGAGTCGGATAATAGCTTTGTGGTGGAACTAGTGCAAAATCCAGATGCATATGTGGGGCGTGACGTTGTTACTGTACTGGAATGCAAGCAATTATCTTTGGACTTTGCGATTGTGGAGTATTCTCACTGCCTACGTGAAGCAAATATGGTGGCTCGTGAGTTAGCACAATGTTCCTTTAGAGAATATGCTTCTATGTTTTGGGATTCTATCATCCCTGACTTTATTTCTCACTCTTATGTAAACGATCTCGCTATTATTTGAGGAATAAAGTCAATTATGTTTAAAAAATATCCAGACTAGCAATTCATAGAGGCATTAATTCATACATGGTGCCTATATATCTTACGATTGTTTCTTTTTTTTCTTTGGATGGTTTCAAGTACTTTCGAGGCTATATCATTTCTGGATCCTCAAAATGTATGTGATATATTCATTTTTCGAGATATATTTACATCTTGTTATGTGGAAATTATCTTAGAAGTAGTAATGTCTTTCATCTGCCGCTTATGTGTGCACAAAGATGTGGTTTAGCTTTTCGGAAATTCTGCTAAAAAACAGAACAATACTTGGAGCTTCAAACCAATTGGCCTCGTTGGGTTTCCTCAAAAAATAGTGAGCATATCTGTTCACCTCGACGGCGCCGGGCAAAGTAGCCTCCTGCCGCCTCCTATCGAAGTCAATGTAGGAGACCGGCGGGCGGCGGGGTGCCACCGTGTTGTGGCGGGGAGAGTCTCCCTGGCCAGCCTCCACTGAATCCACCTCAATTTTGACACACGTTGGCTGCTATGTATAGTTCCTTGTGAATGTGGAGGTGGAATTTCATGCTGAGGGAATAAACTGAGATCGATCAATTCAAATTGGACAAATTTCAGAGTCTCATTCATACCTACCTTTATCCATCTCAACCGCTAATCGTGTTTTTTTTTCTATCTCGTGCATTATTTAGAACGAGGGAATATTCAAATCCATCAGAAAATGTTAGTGTGTCAGTTCATGAATTCTTCCATTTCGTTGCTGAGAATGATTTCTGTTAGGAAATTAAAAGCTGCCAACATAAGCTTCACCCTTTCTAAAGTAAAAGCACTGATATTACTATTATGCCACAGGAGAAACACAACGTCACTAAACACCTATATCTAACAAGAAGGAAGGCCATATCTGACAAATAGAATGGCCAGCCAAAAGAAAAAGAAAAAAGGCAAGGGAAACAAGCTAGCTATATACCCTACCCACTCCTAGTTGTTCTTGGGCGGGTGGTTCCGTGGTCTACGGTAATCAGCGGTGAAGGGTATGTGGCCATCGAAGTAAGCCCCTGGATGAAGTTTCCTGCTCCTAAAATAACAGTCCATACTCAGATCCTTCCCTCCTCCATGCCCACATTGTCCAACAGAATGTTTTGCAGCTGAGCTTGCCGTGCTTCTATCATCCGTCTTCTCCATGGCTGCATCTCCAAGAACCATCTCTCCTCTTGTCAGTGCATTGCTTCTGCTTCCCTCGTCTGTGATGGTTTTGTCGACAGTGGGCTCCTGCATATCAAGACTAACTTTAGTTATACATTATCCCCGGCGGATAGTGCATTTCATCGAAACACCTATAAGTTTTTGACAACCCCTTGCAGTACTTACCAGCCTGGTTTCCGGTCCTCTCACGCTGTCGGTTGCCGTCAGCAACTCTGAGAACAAAGAGTAAGCATGTCAGAGTTTTGTTCAAAATCATAAATGATCATGCCTGTGCCAGTGTGAACTATAAGAAAGAAAAGAGCAGTCGGATGAAAGGCCTTATATAGCTCTAGCATGAACACTCAGAAGCACCGGTGTATACCTCTGTGCGCAATGGCGACGAAGGGCTCAAGGGTGGCCGATAGGACGGCCACCCCAAGCAAGAAGCTTGCACAGCTCAACGGCTGCATAACTAACCGTGGCCCTGTTCGTCGAGTATGTCGGTCGTGTAACTAACGAACAGGAAAGGGAAGGAGAGAAGCAGGACGCTGAGAGGGTGGATTTATAGGGACATTCGACACCTCATTGGTCAAAGCCCGACCTTGTGGCACGTATCTCCTGCGCGTGGAATGCCGCATCTGTACTTGCAGGCCATATAGTAGTCTGATCCCTCGGCATTTTCTTATTGGCTTGAGTATATTCACGTCCTTGGAAGTGCTCAAAGTTTGTCCCTTGCCGTTTGGCAAGCAGTAGTTTCCGATGATCTCTTGTGAACTGTGAATTAAAACTGCTCCAAGGATCTGCCATTGCTTGCGGCTGAAGATTTTGGATGCATTGGGCATTCTGCCCATGGATGCATGCAACGAGCAAAGTGTAGTGGCCAACTAGAAAGGATTTCGGTGACCAAGGCCAGAACCTAGGGCTTCGACCTCACCTCCAATTGATCTATAGTAATGGTTCCCGTGTTCTCCCAACACGTACCTTCAAACCATATTTACGCATCAGAGTCCCAGACGATGACCAAAAACAACCGGTGGCGAGCGTGAATCAGACGGCCGCGCATGCAAGATCACACGCACCAGTGTTACACCACCGCCGTTGTCGGTGCCATTGAATTTCAGGAGCTTAGGAGTGAACGCTCGTCGTCGGCAAAACCGTTCGCAGTCCGTTGAATTTGGTCAGTTTTCAGAGGTGGATTAGACTTTCGAGCGTCAACTGTTGCAGTTGGTTGGGTTTGGCCGGTACATTGATTCGGCTTTCGAGCGTCGACTGACTTGACGGTTCCTCTTTTCAGCTGCTGGCCATTGCCGATGGCTCTTAAAGCACGAGCAAGATGCCGAATGAGAGCTTCGGTACTGCTGCTTTGGGGAACAGGCGCTGGGCCCGGAATGCGTTCTTGGAGACAGTCAACTCGGTCTCCTGGGGCTTCAAGCTGTACCAGATGCGCCCGTGTGCGTCCTCACGATTCACACTTGGCCGAGAGGTTCATGGAACTGAATTTCTTCCGTTCGCCTTTTCGCTGAACCTACCAAAAATATGTATAATCTCTCAGGCGAGACAGGTTTACTGTCCATTCTGCTGGAAGCTTTTGTGGAGAAGCAGCAGTCAGGCGACTTCAGAACGCACTCGTACGCCAGCAGCAAAAGGCAGCTCTTGCGTTTACCGTGTGAGCTGCTAGCACGTGCAACGCCGCGTCGGGCTCCGGCGACGGCATCATTTGCGCGCACTGGGAGTGGCCGGAGCACGAGGGCGCGACCTCCTAGCCGAGTGGGCGGGCGGGCCCGTCGCTTCTCGCTTCTCGGCGCGTCCCTGGTCCTGGACGGAGGCAGCAGAGACACATTGTCTTCCTTGCAGGGGCAGCAAAGCGGCTCGAACCCAGAGCTCATGTAGTACCAGCGAGCACTCTACCTTTTCACAACTTCCGTGGATTAACTTTTCCATCGTCCTAACTGTTGTTGTAGGCTGCTTTGTGGTGGATCTGGACACGCTGTCAGCGCTAACGTGCGACAAGGCAATCTAATAGGTGTAGTTTTTCGTTAGGCCACGTCCATTGCAGGGGTGCTTTGCCTAGACGCATGTGTGAGAACAAAGGTACACATGATCGCACAGCATTTCTGTAGGAGTCTTTATTTCCAATGTTAAGTAGGAGTACTACCTTCTCTCGGGTTTACAAGGCTCGGATACATTTTTTGACACTCACTTTCAGCATCAAATTAACTAACAAAATATTAACTATATGTTATAAAAACATACTCCGTCCGTATTAAAATATAAGACATTTTTTGCTCTAAATTTAGGCCAAAAACGTCTTATATTTTGAAACAGATGGAGTGTCATTTACTTTGTCTTGGAAAAATGTTGTCAATGATATTATTTTTCATTCTCAACTCATTGTGTTGTACAACACATGGTTAAAGTTGGCAAATTCGAATCGTTCCTGCAGCTGGAATTAATGTCCTTCAAATCAAAGGACAAAGCTTATGAGATGCACAACACCTATGCCATTAAGGTTAGGTTCAGTATTAGAAACAGTCAGACAAAGCACCTATCAGATAAATTGCAATAACCGAGGACATTGAGAACCGAGTCATCAAAGGACACTACAATGACGGGTTGCGATGCTTGTGATCAGTTGAGTGTCAGCAAATAGGGGATTCGGACAGTGCAAAAGGTTGTATCGATCACAATCATTATCTTGTTAGTCCAAATAAGTTGCATATAAGCTTGAGATCCCAAAGATGTGTTAGAGAAGTGGACAGGATGCTAATTCGCCGGATACAGGAAGTCGGGATGGTGCCAGATGTATTCATGGAGTTTCACACATGAGTGGAGAAAGTGTCATTCTCAAGGATGGATTGCAATAATGAGATTGGTCGCAAACGCAATAAGTATTCAGAATCCAGTGATGCGCAAACAGTTAGAATACTTGAGTAATAAGCATACAGAGGATTTCTATATATTTTTATGCCATTCAGATAGATGAGGAAGGTGGTCAAATAGCTAATTTCATTTGGGCATACGTTAGTCTATCATGGATCATGCATGCTTTGGTGATTTTATATCATTTGACACCACATTTGAGACTAGTAAGAGTGAAATGGCCTTTGCTCCACTCCTTGGAACCAACCATCACAAGTAGACAATAACTTTTGGGTATGCTCTATTATTTAATGAGACAACTAAATCATTTATTTGGCTCTTTGAGACCTTTATAATGGCAATATCAAGCAAGCGTTCAAGCACAATTTTACTAATCAAGACGCGACCATGGCATTAATAATTGCTTATGTATTCTGAAATACAAGCCATCTTCTTTGTTTGTGGCACATTATTTATGTTAATGCTGCTAAATTTCTCGAGCATATAATTCATAAGCATCTTGAGAAGTTACCACCTGATTTTAAAAGATGTGTGTAGAAAGACATATCCTAGTTTCATGTAAAAAAGAAGCGGCTTGAACTTTGAGGACAACAAATAGATGGAAAATTTATATGGCCTCGGGAAAAGGTGGATGCTATCTACTGTGTCTCTTTTAAAGTCGATATGACCTCGACTAAAAGGAGCGACGGTACGAATAATCTCTTGAAGAAAAATATTTCGTATGAAAATCGGTCTTTCATAACTCCTTGTAGAATGTGAGAAGGTTTCTGTTAGTCTTCGTAAAAATGAGTTGGTAAAGATTTTAATTCACATGTAAAGAAACGGATTTATTGCATCCCAAACTTCTCTTTCTTGAAGACCACAGCTGAATCATATACAAGTAGGGTGTACTCAGAGTTTGAGAAACAATTTAAAAGAAATTTGTCATTGTATTATAAATTGATACAAATTGAGTGCTCAGTATTGACATATGACCATTACATGTTTTGCAGAAAATACGAATTCATATGTATGTATACATGTTTTAAATTGCAAATGTGGTTTCATAAAATATGGCATCCATATGTTATAAGTATATTGTGCGAGCATGTCTTCAAAGTCTTCAATACTTAGCCGCCCTCGAGACCGGGACGCCATTTCCGCCTTCATCGCCGACCTTCGCTCGATGGCTGTCCGCCTATCGCCGCCGCCACCGCCGCCTCCTCCAGAGCCTGACTAGATGCTTGGTGTTCCTCTTCGGCTTTGGCTCCGACCTTGGCCGTGCAGCTTTCTTTGTTGTTTCTTAGGGCTTGTTGAGCTGTGCCCTCAGCAGAACCCTTTGGTTATCTTATTGTGTTTTGTGGGTGCGTCTGTCCTGGACTGGTACTTGTATGTGTGCTCTTGGCGGTTTGCTTTATCTATAAAGCGGGGCGAAAGCCTTTTTCGATAAGCCTTCAATACGAATGATGTTTTCATTTGCCATCGTAATATACACTAAACAGAAGGACAAAATATGCAAAAAGAGAATTTTATATTAAGAAACAATTGAAACTGCATGTTACACGTATCTCATAATCATGAAAGATGGCTTCCGCTACAATGAAGTGATCACTATCAAAAGAACTTATGAATGATTTGGAGAACTTCATTGAAGTTGGACTTGGAAGCACATAATCATTTAAGCGAAGATGCAAGAAAATTTGGTTTAGAGTTCCTCGGGCGATAAAAGGCGCCAACGGTAAACAACCATGGTCAAAGGTTGCCATACACATCATTTTCCAAGGTTGACATCACAGGATTAGCATATCCTCCGTGTATATAGATAGTTTGCCATTTGCCTTTTTATCACCCAAGGACTCGAAACGATATTGTACCTTTTAAAGTGCCTGTAGCACATTCAGTCAAAACTAGCAGAACCTCATGGGTTTTTTCTTGCATCTTACATATAGTATTATCGAATGTACAACTTATCAATGGCCTTTTTTGAAATCGTCAAGTTCTTTTGATAACACAAACACTTCAATGAATGGATGCCACCCTTCATGAGATACATGCAACATGTGTTTTCAAACTTACCTTCCTACTTGTTTCTCAATTAAAAAAAAATTGCACATGTTGTCCTTCTCTTCATTATATGTTGTGATGGCAAAACGAAACATTATTGATATTGAAAACTTCAAAGGCACACTTGCACAATATACCTAGATATGGATGCATATTTTATCATTTTGGTATAAAATGTGTATGCATAACTATGAATTGGTACTTTGTGCAAGAACTTGTAATGGTCATATCTGCACTGCTGAATACAACCATTGCTCCATGATCATTGCACTTTTGCATAACTATATATGTCAAGATTGGCATTGGTTTGTACTCCCTCCGTCCTATAATGTAAGACGTTTTTTGATACTAGGACAGAGGGAGTGACAGTTTACAAGACAATGAAAATTGTCTTTTAAAATTCTTCCTCAAATTCTAAATGCACTGTCTTTGTATATGTTCAACTACATTCTTCAGCATAATTTGAGATATTTTTTCACGTGAATTCAAATCTTCATCAAACTTAATTTCACAAAGATTAGCGAAAACCCTCTCACATTCTACAGGGAGAAGCAGGACCTCATCGACTGTTCCAGCAGCTCTACGCGCTCCGAGGCCGTGGTTTCAGTTGCCTTAACCAGGCGCTCCTCACGCTGCTACCCAAGCGCGCGGACGCTCGCTGTCTCGGAGACTACAGGCCGATAAGCCTCATCCACCTCGTCGCCAAGATCTTCGCGAAGGTCCTCTCGCTGCGTCTCGCGCCCAAGCTCAATGCCCTCGTCAGCACGAACCAGAACGCGTTCATCCCTGGACGCTCGTTGCATGACAACTTCGTCCTCGTCCGACAGTCCGCGCGCCTACTCCATCAGCTCAAGGCCCCCTGCTTGCTGTTGAAGCTCGACTTGGCACAGGCCTTCGACTCGATCAGCTGGCCGTTCCTCTTCGAGGTATTGCGCCAATACGGATTCGGCAACCGTTTCCTGGACTGGCTGGCCATTCTGCTTTCGTCGGCCAGCACCAAGGTGCTCCTGAACGGCAAGCCTTGCCCGACCATTTGGCATCACTGCGGGTTTCGACAGGACGACCCCCTCTCGCCCCAGCTATTTGTCCTCGCGGTCGACACGCTTAGCCGTCTCCTTCGCCGAGCCACCGAGACGGGCATCTTGCAGCAGCTTCACCCGCGGCGCCCGATCCCGGCCGTCTTGCTATATGCGGACGATGTGATCCTATTTTGCCACCCCACTCCGGGCGGCACCATGGCAGTGAAAGGAGTCCTGCAGCTCTTCGGACGCGCGTCGGGCCTCCAGGTGAACTTCCTGAAGAGCTCTGCCACACTCATCTGCTGCGACGCCGACGACATGGCGCCCATCATCGCGCACTTGGCTGCCCCATCGTGGACCTGCCTATCACATATCTTGGCATCCCGCTCACAATCAAGCGCCCATCCGCTACCCTGCTCCAACCGGTGGTTGACAAAACTGCTGGCATGCTGCCTACCTGGAAGGCGTGCCTCATGAACAAGGCTGGCCGCCTTGCTTTTGTCAAGGTCGTGCTCAGCGCCATCCCCATCCACCAGCTGCTGGCGCTAGCACCACCGAAGCGGATCATCAAGGCGCTGGAGAAGATACAGAGGGGATTCCTTTGGGCCGGACGCGCCGAAGCCAACGGCGGCCACTGCCATGTCAACTGGCGGCGCGTCGCACGGCCAATCTTGCTTGGAGGACTTGGTGTCCACGACCTCGAGCGCACAGGCCTCGCCCTCCGCACACGTTGGCTGTGGCTAAGCCGCACCGACAGCGCCAGGGCTTGGAGTGGTCTTGACCTGCAGTTCTTCGCCGACGAGCGCGCCTTTTTCTTTGCCTCGACCACCATGCAGATAGGCAACGGCCAGCTCGCCTTGTTCTGGGAGGACCGCTGGATTGACGGACGCTCCGTCAGCGAGATCGCGCCGGCGTTATACTCTTGCATCCCCAAGAGACGCCGCAAGCTGCGAACGGTGGCGGATGGCCTTCAGGCCAACAATTGGGCGCGCGACATACAAGGCAACGTTGGGATTCAAGAGATCAGCGAGTACCTGCAACTCTGGCACATGATTGAGCACACAACGCTCTCCGCCGAGCCAGATCATCTACTCTGGAAGTGAAGCTCCAAAGGCACCTACACCGCGCAGTTCGCCTACCTTGCCATGTTCCACGGATCCACCGCATGTGATGCTTGGAAGCTCACTTGGAAATGTTGGGCGCCGCCCCGGGTACGCTTCTTCCATTGGCTCGCCCACTTAGACCGGTGTTGGACTGCTGACCGCCTCGCCCGTCGCGGCTTGCAGCACCCCGCGTGCTGCCCACTTTGTGACCAGGCGCCGGAGACCCTCTAGCATCTCCTCCTCGCCTGCCCGTTCTCCCGGCAGGTATGGTATGAAATCCTGAGCTGGCTAAGGGTTCCCTGCAACCCACCTGATGGCGAGCCATCAACCAACACCTAGTGGCTCTCCGTGCGGCAGCACACGCCCAAGCCTATGCGCAAGGGCCTCGCCTTGGCGACACTACTCATTCCTTGGATGCTATGGAAGCATCGGAACGACTGCGTCTTCGACAGAGCCAGCCCTTCTATAGCTACACTACTGGATAAAATCAAAGAGGAGGCGACCCTTTGGGCCAGAGCCGGAGCGTTGGGCCTGCGTGCCCTCATTCCCCAAACCTAGGATGTACATTAATTGCAGCACCCTCACCCTGTATAACTGCCTCCTAGGAGGATGTAACTGAAACCCCTTCCTTTTCAATGCAATGAAATGCAAATCTTCTGCGTTTTCTCGAAAAAAAAAACATTCTACAGGGAGTTCTGAAAGACTAAGTTTCCCAGAAAATCTTTTCTTGACGACATTATGCATTCCTTTGGTCCTTTTGAGTAGAGGTCGTATCAATTGTGTAAAAGAATCATGATAGGTAGCATTCCATTTTTTCCAAAAAACTTATAGGTTTACCATCCGTTGTCCTCAAGATTGTACTCGCACAACAAGTCAAGCCACTTGTTGTTGAAGTAAAACTCTTCGTACACGCATCTTTAAAATCAGGTACAAACTTCTCATGATGCTTATGATACATGTGCATTAAGATAAATGTGTCACAAATAAAGACGATGGTTTGTATTTCAGAATATATAAGTTGTTGCCCATGCCATGGCCGCATCTTGATTAATGAAAATATGTTTGGATGTTTGCTTAACATTGACAAAAGGTCTCAGGTAGACAAACATAACAGAGCAGACCCAAAAGTTATTGTCAGTTTATGTTGGAACAAAATTTCGTTCTTTATGCAGTGGTTAAATGCCCCAATCGATTTTGTCATCGATAATTGAAACAATGGGAAGTACATACAAGTCACAAAGAATTTAACACAAATAGTAGAAATAACTGAAGAAGACATCATGTCCAACGGGCTTCTGAGTTTCTATTCACTACCTACTATCTAACAAGGAACCAGCTAAAACTCTTGAAATGTACTACAAATTAGAAGGAAAAAATGACCCATTCACACTAACGCATGGAGGTAGATACAAAAGAAGCCCATTGGAATTGGATAAACTACTTTGGAAAAAGGCGACGACTAAGTGATGTTGTACAACTACTTCAAAATTCATTTGTTTTTCCCCGAAATAGGATGTTTTGTACCTAAATTTCCTAAAAACTATGATGTCAAACGATGTTAGCTTCAATTATGATAGCTTACAAATTTCTTGTTCATAATTTCAATCATTTTGCAATTGTCTACAACATCTACAACACCAAATTTCTTGTTCATAATTTCAATCATTTTACAAATTTCAATGATCCTTAAGTCGAACTTTATAGTTTTGACCAAATTATAGAAAGAAGTATCAACATCTACAACACCAAATCAATATCATTAGACATCATGAAATATATTTTCACACTATTTATTTGGTACAGTATAATTTGATATATTTTTATATGAAGATGGTGAAATATTATGAGTTTAGACTTAGGACAAAATATATCTGAGAGAGTAATAACCAGCCACAACAATTAACATGCAAGCTGTTCTTGCATGATTCTCTAGCAAGTATGTGTCCGTCCTAGTTTACATGTCATCCTTGTATTTCGAGTTTTAATTACATTGACAGTGACCCACATTTCATTGGTCAGACTGATGGTCATACTTGAACCTCAAATGTGCAGGCACCATGTAAACTGCGACGGAGGGAGTATATATTGTATTAATAGAGAAACAGGATAGCTAGAACATGAGCGTTGAACTGAACAAAGATGATGATTACATTGAATGATCCAGTGATTCGTTTCAAGCTCAAGCTCTATGACAAAGCAATCAAGTGACATAAATCCATATTTGAAGAGAACTTTCCAGAGGGAAGACACAAATTCCCAGTTTAGTTATCTATCAAATGTTTCTATGAAAAAGAAAAACTACGACAGTGTAATGATACAACAACTTATGTACAGTGTAACAATGGTGTTGCTTCATACTAACCTTCCACTATTTTCAATGGAATAGATTATACAGATGAAATAAATACAGATACTATCAAAACTAACCTTCCACTATTTTCAGCTCCCGGAAGTGGAAGTTACTTTGAAGCAGTCAATATTGCACAATTTAACCGACCTCATCATCCCTCCAAAGCTGTCACACAATTCATTGCAAGAGTCAAGAAGACAAGACAAGCATATGTCCTGTAACAGGAATCCACATTAAACAGTAAAACAAACAGAGTGCATGTAAGAATATACAGACCGGTCAATGCTTTTCCGTGGCTTATCAGATTGATCCACACTAGCCCGTGGTTTGTCAGGATGATCTACACTCTTTCTGCCTTTATCCTTCCTATCTCTGCTGCTCCTTGGTTTCTCCCGTCGGTCTGTACTCCGCCTGTGATCAGTGCTTGACCTTGATTTGTCCCTCACATCCGTGCTTTTTCTTGAACTCTCCATACTTTCAGATCCTGTTTCAAGATCTGAAGGGCCTGAACTTTCTGGAGATTCATCTTTCAGTGGTGGGGACTTCTCTATGGCTGTGACGAACTTCTTTAGGTGCTTAATGTATTCGGGATAGAGTTCCAAATTACAATGGTTCCCACCTTTGACCCACAAAGGCTCATACTTCACTTTGGACAGTTCCCACAGTGCTCTCCCATGAGAACAGTCAACGACATCATCAGCCGTACCCTGCAGATGAAATAGTTTTAATGCCATAAATAGGTGAGGGAATATTGATGTTGCTATGGAACAGGCATCTCTTCCCAAAACACCATAATCAGAAATTGTTAAATTTCCGTCCAAGGAAAGAGTTGTACTCTTCAAAAGGAAAGGACAGTCACATAGGCATTACAACAGTACAGCTATGTTGAACTTAATCTATCGCTTTACATGTGATTGTTTTACTAATTACATTATATGATGCCAAATGAATATTCTTAAAACTTATAAGACCGGTGAGTGAATAGGTGAACTGGCTGTTGGACAGGCAAACCAGCAGGTTGACCGATGAACCAACAGCCTGGCGGCTGGGGTCATCGGTTCGGTTTTTAGAACTGTGCTAGAAGCATCTAACTTGAAACATATTTGAAGAGAATGGAGAAAAACAATATAGAGATAATCAAATCTAAAAAGGGCTCCAATCCATCCCCGCGCCACCAAACTGGTACGGGACCAACTATTGATTTCCTTTTCATAGGAGGAAAGAACACCACCAAAATTAAAATACAAAAGCATTTAATGTCATATGGAGTTTTAAGACCTTTAGGGAATCTTGCTGTCACTAGAATACTCACATGGATTACTAACACGGGGCATTTGACCAATGTAACTTTGTCAATGTTCTGCAAACAAAAATATAGGGATCAGATCAAGGAAAAGATGAAACTGAAAGAAACAAAGTAAAATAATCACCTTATATATGTCAAACCAGTATGTATGTTTCACAGGATACATTACTCTCAAGCCAGACGAAATTGGACTATGTAGAACCACTGCTCTCAAATGAGGCAAACGAGATGCCAAATCTAAAGTAGGGCCACTGCCAACTGATTGACCATACAGAATGATGTTTTCCTCGGAGGCCCCATAAGTTTCTATGAGACACCTATAAGCGGCCTCTATGTCTGCATAAGTGTTCTGCTCACTTGGCTGCAGAATCAAATAGAAATAAATCAAGTCAGCTATGCAAACCGATGGTAGCTGAACCTCTTAAAACAGAAAGCAAAGGGGAAGAGGAGAGGAAAAGTACTTTCCTAGAAAAAGATTGAGTCTATACCTTCCCAGATGATTGCCCATATCCAGAATAATCATAACTGTAAAAGTGGGAAAGAATATACTTCATTAGTTACTGTGTGAAGCCAAAATGGGTATTAGGATCAGTGAAATATATGTGACACTGCCAGCAGGATCATGACTGGTAAGTATCAACTATCAACAGTATCAAATGGAAGAACATACATATCATAAACACAAACACAGAGCTTAAATCAAGTACAGTAATATATAAGAATTCTCCTTGAAATTTGCATGACCTATTGTAGCTGCCACGCGTCAAAGCAACAACTGGTCTACTCTATATTATAAGGTCAAGGAAACTAGAGATAGACCCTTTGGAAAGTCAAATATGCAAACAGATGAAAGAAAGGACAAACTGGCATTGGAGCTATAAGACAGATACAAATGGTGTTCACTACTCAACTGAAAAAAAAAATGGCTACTCAAACAAGATAAGCTGGAGACACGATAGAGCAATTGTTCATTGCTCCACACCACACGATTTGAAACTGGGTATGCCTAATATCAACTGGACAACTCAATTAATCTAACCAGTAAACAGCTCATCTGGCAGTCTATCAATTATAAACATAGTAACTGATCAGGAGTGCCCAATTCCCTCATCAAAAGCCTGACCCACTCAAATGAGTAGATGGAACAGAAGCTACCAACAAAAGCTCCTTCATTTATTCACT